ACACCCGCCGCCGCTCGGGTCCAGACACCCGCCGCCGCTCGGGTCCAAACACCCGCCGCCGCTCGGGTCCAGACACCCGGGTCCAGACACCCAACGCCGCTCGGTGACAAGTTTCAGATTAAAAAAAAGTTTTGTAAAGTTGTAGGAGAAAAGGTGTCAAATTAGTGAAATTAGAAACCGGATACCAAATGACTTTGAATGTTTAAGCACAAGGTTATTAAAGTTAGGGATCTTTAAAGGCAGATGTTAAAAGATATTTATTTTTGTCTGGTTTGTGAAGCATCTAAATATTTGATGCTGAACTATGTTGAAGTGAAATTATGTAATTATTGTGACGTCAGGGTCACCATGAGTCTTCCGGCGTTCGGACGGCCTCCAGGTGGAACCCAGACAGGTGAGCAGACGCTGCATTTAAGTGAACTCAAAACTTGAGACCCCCCCCGGGGGGGTTGGCTTGGCGATGGAAGACCGTAGTCTTTCCTCTGGACCTGGTTCCGGTGGATAGCTGTCCTGCTTTAGCTCTCAGTTCCTCAGATGACCCTGAACGTCTGGCTCTGAACGTCATCTCGGTTCTGGACCTCGGTGTAGAGGTCCCATCAAAACGTGGCCGTCGTCTTTAGCTTGAGACTTGAACGTTCAAAATAAAATTCTCACGTTTAAAAGTCAGGCGTTCTTTTTGCTCCTTGTTCTCCTCCATCTTTTCTTCGACAAGACGACGAGGCTGAAGCTCAACTCTCTGCGAGTGAAGACTTACGAGTGGTCCACCCTGTTCCTAAAACGTCTTCGTCCTATCAGGTGTCACAGGGCGCTTCTGAAACTTACAGGAGAGAAAGAAACATTTTCTAAGGAATCCTTCTTTCTGCCTTAAAATTTCAATTATAAAAAAGAAAATAAGAGAAATTATATTAAGAAAGATTTTACTCAAAACACACCGTTTCATTCATGACTTAAAAACTGGATTGCCATCTTTGAGTTGACCTTAAAATGAACATGATGTTTCCACCAGAGGAGCCTGCTGGACCTGGATTTCCTGCAAACAAATTTGTTCTGAGGATGAAAGGACGCCTTTTCTGTTATCTCAACACTTCGACTGCAGGAACAAAACTCCTTTTTCTGCTGAGGACTGATAGAGAACATCTGCTCTGACCTGCTTCACCTCAGAAGGTCCAGTTCATGGAAAGGTCCTTCAGGTTAATGAGTCCAGTTTGGCAGCTCTAACTGTCTTTATGCCATTGTCCAAGTTGAGCAGTTGTGGAAAGCTAAAACAAAGAATGTTTTAGGAGATGAGGCAGCTTCCACAGGATGAGTGGAGCTCAGTCTTATTTTAAAGTATCAGAAAAATAAAAGTATTTACGGTAAAAGTCTTCCAAACGTTCAAATGTGCAGGGGTCCGACAGCGAGGCCCTGCTGCACCCACCAAGACCCTGAGAATCTTTTGAAACGACGTTCTGGTGACGGGTTTGCAATTTGAGTCCAGCAGCTGCAGCTCTGAGAAGCTGCGAGGACACGAGGTGTAAAACCACCAACAGACACCGGGTGGCGCTACCAACCCCCTGTTCAAAAGAGTCGCGTCAAACATGTACCCAGTCTGTTTCCTCGGGTCGGTGTTGAGGACGTCAGTGTGGATGGATCTTGAGTCTGTTTGTTGGACTCTGGCTTCACTAATTTCACCAAATGTGAACTCATTCAGGAGGTAAGCCCAGCAGACCATTCAAAACTGTCAACACGTGAACTTTTACAACCCACTAATAAAAGAACTAAATCCTGAAAAGTATTTTCTATTCTTTCTAAACTTCTTTTTTTTTTCCAGATTTTACCACCAACAGTTTAATTCAGCTGAATTCAATTCAGTTTATTTCTGTAGCTCCAACAGAATTAGTTATTTGAATAATGTTTCAACAAACATTTTGTTGCTTCTGGTTCTTTATTTGACACAGTTACTAATGGAAGATCAGCCACTTCACTTAATAACCAAACTTCTACAAATCAAATCCCTCCTACAAGTCAATCCTCAGTTAATCACAGCTTCTCTTTTTCTCCATTCTCAGTCAGTGAGGTCAATAAACTGTTAAAAGATCTTGATCCTAAAAAATCTGCAGGTCCAGATGAACTTCCACCTTATTTCTTAAGGCTGGCTGCTCATATCATCACAGTCCCTGTGACCCACATCTTCAATCTCTCCATAAGACAAAACTCCATCCAGACACTTGAAAACAGCCTTTGTTCTTCCTTTGCTGAAGGGAGGTGACCCCCCCTCACTGAACAACTATGGACCAATCTCTAAACTCTGCATTTTAGCCAAGGTTCTAGAAAAACTGATAAACTCTCAAATCAAAAATGACCTGGACTCATTTAACATCTTACCTCCACATCAATCTGGTTTCAGGAAACAACACAGCACAACCACTGCTTCACTGAAGGTTCTTAATGATGTTGTTGAAGCACTGGATGCTAAGGATTATTGTGCTGCACTTTTCTTAGACCTGTCTAAAGATTCTGACACTGTGGATCAGAACATCTTGTGTCAGAAACTCTCAGAAACTGGTTTCTCAGATCACACCATTGGTTGGTTCTCTAACTATCTTTCAGACCGGAGGCAATGTGTTCAACATAATGGTACTTCCTACAGTTATTTAACAGTCAACAATGGTGTACCACAAGGCTCAGTCTTAGGACCCACCCTCTTTACAATCTACATACACAATGTAGGTAAAAACATCCCTGATATGCTGATGCATGCTCAATAATCCAGGTAGAAAAATCCAAAAAAGTTCAATCTGGTCCTCTGGACATTCAAAAAAAACAAAAAAAAAAACAAAAACAAAGCAAAACAACAAAAAATGTAGAAACGTTTCGTCTCTCATCCAAGAGACTTCCTCAGTGCAACATCCCTGATGCATTCATACATTTCTATGCTGATGACACAGTTGTTTATTGTCGAGCTAAAACTGTTGCTAAGGTTTTCCAGCTTTTGAAATCTGCATTCAACATCATCCAGACTGATTTGTTTCACCTCAAACTTGTCCTAAACGCCGACAAAACCAAAGGGATGCTTTTTTCAAACAGGAAGTCGGTCCCAGCAGTTCTTCCTCTGATTTTATCCTCAAATGGTGTCCCCATTGAGTTTGTTGATTCCTATAAATATTTGAGTATCTTGGTCGACTCACATCTCTCTTTCAAGCTCCATGTGGAAAACTTGGTAAAGAAACTGAAAGTTAAACTGGGTTTCTTTTTCAGAAACAGATCCTGTCTAACCCTGAATGTTAGGAAACACCTTGTATCTGTGACTTTCCTTCCCTCCATTGATCACGGTGACATTATTTACATGAACGCTCCTACAAGAACCCTGCAGATGTTGGATGCTGCAGATGTTGGATGCTGCAGATGTTGGATGCTGTCTATCATGGTGCACTAAGATTCATAACTGGCTGTAACTACTGTACCCACCACTGCACCCAGTATTCACTGGTTAACTGGTCACCATTAACTTCACACAGACTCTCTCACTGGTACATTTTCATCTTTAAATCACTTCCTGGTCTGCTGCCTTCATACATCTCCTCCTACATGTCTCTGTGTGAGTGCAGCTACAGCGTGCGCTCTCAGGACATCATTACCTGCAGTGTTCCCTCAGTGAGGACTGAACTAGACAAAAGGACCTTCTCCTACTCCGCTCCTGTTTCCTGGAATATCTTGTAAAAAGATCTGAAGCTCTCGACCTTTGACCTCTCTAAGTGTCTTTAAGAATCTGTTGGACTCCTGGCAGGGACCATACCATACCAATTTATTTATATAGCACTTAAAACAGCAACAAGGCCGACCAATGCTGACATGTTCCTGTTGTTAGTTTTATACATTCGCCATAGAATCTAGCTGTTTTTTTGTTACTTTTTTTAAGCCATCATATTTGTTTTAAAAAAAACCTGCAGTATTACTTTTTATAATTGTTTATTGTTGTCCATTGTTGTCATCTTTCTTTGTTGAAATCAGGTCTCTCTTGTAAATGAGTCCTCGAGGCTCAATGGGACTAACCTGTCTAAATAAAGGTTGGATGAATAAAAAACAGGGCAGCACGGTGGCGCAACTGGTAGAGCTGCTGCCTCTCAGCGAGCAGGTCCCTGGTTCAAACCCCGGTCCAGGGCCCTTTCTGGGTGGAGTTTGCATGTTCTCTCCGTGCATGCGTGGGTTTTCTCCGGTCTCGTTTGTCTCTATGTGTCCCTGTGATGGACTGGAGACCTGTCCAAGGTGTCCCCCGCCCCTCGCACAGTGATTGCTGGACATGGGCACCAGCGACCCCCGTGACCCAAAAATGGAATAAACGGGTAAAGATGATGGATGGATGAAAAATAATCGTATATTTTGCACCAACAGATAATTTAATCCACCAGGTGGCGTCAGTCCTCCAGCTCTGTTTATCCGTAGAAGAAGAAGAGCAGGAAGAAGCGCAGAATAAACGGGTTACGGAATCTGGTGTAGCTCGACCTGCTCGTCCGCATCAGTTAGCGCCATGGCGGCTGTGCGCAGTTTGCGGGCGTCGGTGAAATCAGATAGCAGCTCGGACCGCTCGGACTCGGACTCTGACTCCGAATCGGACCGGGATGTCCGCGAAGCCGAACCGATGGAGGTGGAGGAGGGGGAGCTGGAGGCGGAGGACGTCTCGGTGAACCGCTCGCTGAAAGAGCTGCTGCCGGTGAGTAGGCCGCGCTCAGACCAGGGGCTCGCGTGTGCCGCAGCCGGCTGAGCTGCACCTGGCGCCGGTGTGCTTCAACGTGAAGTCCCGGCTCAGTCCCGGAGCCTGTTTGAGGTTAATCCGGTGTCTGGCTCCGTTTCTCGGTTCTTAGCAGGCTGGTTGTTCGGTTCTGGAGGCTCGTGGCCACTTGTTGCTGCTGCTGCTGGGCTATTTTTCCTAAATTTGTATTGAATAAAATAGATTCAAGCAAACGAGTCCACGTGATTTTAGTTGAACATCTGTAAACTTAAGTTTTCTCAGTTGTTCCTCCTGTGAGGAGGTTTGTTTGTATTCGCCGTTGTTTACAGGGGTTGTTTGTTGGTAAACAGCAGCGGTAAGAGGCTTGTTTCCCAGATGAATGAGGCCTGAAGGTGAAACCAGGTGAACTTCCTGTCTTCTTCTGTGGTTCCAGGACACCAGCCGGAGGTACGAGAACAAAGCTGGAGCCTTCATCACAGGGATAGATGTCAACTCTAAGGTAAACAAACAAACAAACAAGCCTGCCTCCTTCTGTCTGAGCATCTGTTCACCTTTCCTCAGGTAGCAAACAGAACTTTCCTTCTTGTCTCGTTAACGAGGACACAGAGACATTCGTTCCAGGGGACGAGACCAGATCCAGAGTCCACGGGACAATGTTTTAAAATCTAACAAAGTTAAGTCTGCTCCTCTGGACAGATTCAAAAATACAAAATAAAAACTTGTTGAAACGTTTCGTCTTTAATCCAGAAGACTTCTTTAGTCTGAGGAGCTGCAACCGACTCAGTCTTTAAACATCACCTTCTCATGGTGGATCAACCAGTTTGTGGTCGACCTCCAGAGCTGGCTGTTCAGGAGTAGGGCTGAGCATCGTTTCAGTTTGAGCAGTTCCAGGTCCTATCCATTCTGATTCTTTTAGTGAGGGAGCGAACAGCTTGTCTCTGTAAGAGCAACGGGAGGGAGGCTCCTTGACGTGACGTGGGCTGCGTCTCTGGTTCTCAAAATGGTGGACGCTCAGTGTGGTTTGAGCTCTGTAGCATTTTTCACACAAAGCTTTTAATAAACAAATCGGTAAACAAGTTCTCAGCTTCCAACATTTTTCAGTCAGGTCATCTGGACAGTTTCTTTTTTTGTGCTGAAACGTTTCGCCTTCGATCCGGAAGGCTTCATCAGTCTGTGTCAACCAGTTTGACACGACTGTCAACAAGGAAGAGGCCGGCAATGGAGGAGGGGGTGTGCCACAGAGACCATCTTATCACAAGCAGAACTGGTTTGTTCCACTTTGGAGTAAGCTGTTGGGGAAGAATCAGTTTTGTTGTGTGTTTCCTTGACTGATGAAGCCTTCTGGATGTAAGGCGAAACATTTCAGCACAAAAAAAAAGAAACTGTCCAGATGACCTGACTGAAAAATGTTGGATTGTATACCTGGATTATTGAGCGTGGACTTTGAAGTTCTCAGCTTCTTGTTGCAGAGAAAAACAACTTTTTACACGAAGGCACAAGTTTCAACCGTGAATATTGGAGCTTCGACAAGATGGAGGTTTTTTTTTCCTGAGGTCGGCCTGTTAGCTTAGCTCGTAGCTTAGCTGCTTTTAACGATTTAAAAACAATTTTGGTTAAAACAGATTTTCAAGAGAAAGGGAGGGGTCAGTGAAGAGCACCAGAGTTGATCCTTTTGTCATCGAGTGTCTTCAGTAGAAAGAGAGAGACACGAAGAAACGATAAAGGTGATAAATGAAAATGAGGTCGATAATTTTAATTTATCGTGTGATTAATTGATTTATTGTTTATCGCGACAGGTCTAATTATAGCAAGTCATAATATCCATTAATAACCACTTGTGGCTATTAATGGATATTATGACTTGCCATAGATACACGTGAACCCCGTCTGTGGGTGTAACCATGTATGGCAGCGTGATGGCTCAGTGGTTAGCACTGTTGCCTCACAGCAAAAATGTCCTGGGTTCAATGCCTGGTTGGACCTGGGGTCTTTCTGTGTGGAGTTTGCATGTTCTTCTCGTGTTTGCATGGGTTTTCTCCGGGCACTCCCGTTTCCTCCCACAGAACAAAAACATGCATGATAGTCTGATTCAGGCCCAGACCTCCCTTCAAAAGAGACCGTGATCTCAGTGGGATTTGCCTGGTTAAAGAAATGTTAAATAAAGGTTATTAAATGTTAAATAAAGGTTATTAAATGTTAAATAAAGGTTATTGAATGTTAAATAAAGGTTATTGAATGTTAAATAAAGGTTAATGAATGTTAAATAAAGGTTAAAGAAATGTGAAATAAAGGTTATTAAATGTTAAATAAAGGTTATTGAATGTTAAATAAAGGTTAAAGAAATGTTAAATAAAGGTTAATAAATGTTAAATAAAGGTTATTAAATGTTAAATAAAGGTTAATAAATGTTAAATAAAGGTTAATAAATGT